GGGGGGGCCCCGGCCCCGGGGGGGCCCCGGGCCGGGCTGGGGGCCCCCCCCCCCCCCCCGAGTCCAAAAATTTTTGTGCCCCGGGCCTCTAGTATTTTTAATAATTACTATAATTATCCTGTGAGTAATAACAATGCATATGTTAGAAGCACTAAATTGTTAAAGGCATATAGACCAGAATTATAATTCTATATTTTTGTGCACCGGGCCTCTAGTATTTTAAATAATTACTATAATTATCCTGTGAGTAATAACAATGCATATGTTAGAAGCACTAAATTGTTAAAGGCATATAGACCAGAATTTTGATAATTCTATTTTGGAATTCATTTATCTTTTCATACACCATGAACTCTAAAAAATGGAAGTTGCTTGGGCCCCTCTCAACTTTTGATAGGCTCTGATTCTAAGCAATTGGATGGGTGGTTTGGTGGCTAAGAAGAGAGGCATGTAAACGTAATTCCTACGGCCTGCAGTAATGAAAAGGGGGGACAAAGGACTGCCCTGGTGTGGGAAGGGACCCTGGGACTCTTCAGTACAAGGTTCTGATGAGGGTCCTGGGCATTATTATTTAGACCCTCCATCACAAATCTACTGCTGCTTGAATTGTCCTAATATTTTCAATAAAACTAGTTGTTTTTCTTTGATATGTCTAGATAATCCAGAACAAGCTCCACTTGACTTTAAAGACATAAAATATAGTCTTGATCTCAAATCAGCTAGGTACTGAGAGGTAGAGGTACAACAAAAACCACTAAGTCCCTTCTTAAAGGACCCTACTGCTAACTTGGTTCTTACATGTAAAAGTTAATGAGCAAGGCAGAGACTGATAAGTACCATGCCCATGGCTGGGCCTAGAACTATGGGCAGGAGTTCATCAAGAAGAGAACCTATGGTCAGAGAGAAAGCTGTGGGTGAGCCAGAATCAAATAACTAGGGCCTTTTCACTTCTGAGTATGTGTCTTGTGTTTTCCCCTAGACTGGATATTCTTATGCATATTTGTAGTAAGCCAGAAGGAAGAGAATGCATTGGGAGAGATGCAAGATTCTAAAGAAGGAGGGATTGACTGGATAATAAATGTCCAAGAGGGTGAGAATAGGTGGAAAGGTAAGCTCTTCTTTGGGGTTGAAAGAGGCAAGATTGGGTATAAAGAAACACAGATATTTAGGGTAGGAGAGTAGAGGGAGTCATTTGATGGAAAGATTCAGGAAAGGATTGGCAATGTGAGAAGAGAGAAAATTCCAGAAAGTTGGCAAGAAAAATACATTTGTGACTATAGCAAAAAGAGGTAAATAAAGGGATTCCTCAGTAGCAGGGTGGAACTACCCAACTGACTGCATGCACTTTTCAGGGCTGGATGGCTATGGCCCCAGCAGCTTCCCCAGCGTCACTCATCCTGCACTGGAAGCTGAACTGCTGAGTGATTTGTAAATGGTGACCTTCTGAAAGCGAAGAGGCTGGCCTTTGAATCCTTTTTCTGATTGGTCCACTACTTGACTCCTATCTTTTTAGGGTGGAGACATGGGCTTGCTTAAAAAAAAAACACACACAAACAAAACATACCTTGTCTGTGCCGTTTGACCATATCTCAGGTTTTATAGAGACTAGAGATGGCCAAATAAATGCGATCACTTTTTTTTCAATATATTTTTATTAATTTCAGAGAGGAAGAGAGAGGGAGGGAGAAACATCAATTATGAGAGAGAATAATTGATCAGCTGCCTCCTGCACACTGGGGATGGAGCCCGCAACCCGGGCATGTGCCCCAACTGGAAATCAAACTGTGATCTCCTGGTTCATAGATCGATGCTCAACCACTGAGTCACACCGGCTGGGCAAATGGGATCACTTTTATCTGAACTTCATATAAGTGATGTTTGTAAAGTAGCTTCATGGCTGTGATAATCTCTCCCACCAGCTAAAATATAGTTCCTATATCTCACTTTTATTATATCAGTACTAGAGGCCAGGTGCACAGATTCGTGCACTGGTGGGGTCCCTCAGCCTGGCCTGTGCCCTCTCGCAATCCGGGACCCCTTGGGGGATGTCAGATAGCCGGTTTTGGCCCGATCTCTGCAAGCCCAATCCAGCAGGAGGGAGCCCCATCTTGTGCATTGAGCATCTGTCCCTTGGTGGTCAGTGCACGTCATAGCGACCAGTTGACCAGCCATTTGATCACTTAGGCTTTTATATATATAGATAGTTTAAAAGTTAAGTTACACCCCAAATTCAGAATTGCTGACAACAGAATTACATTTAAACCTATTACTGGGGTGGGGGGGAACTATTGGTTTTTCTTAAAGAACTTTTTATAATGGTAAATTGAGGTAGAAATTCCTAATATCCTCTCTCACTCTTAATCAAGAGTCAATTAACAGGAAAGAAGATGAAACATAAAATAACAGTTTTCATTGCCTTGCTCTCTATACTTAACTGACACATCACATAATTTACCTCTTTCAGGCCTGAATAATTTACCTGCAAAAGTGCTATGTTTACTGCACTGATGAGGATGCATAGAATTTTTTTAAACTAAAAGAGACAGACTTATCCATTCTATGTGACTGAAGCAGTCTGCTCTGAGCTGTTCATTTACACCATTTTTTCTTCTTCTTTTTGTTTTTTATTAACCCTCCCGTAAGGATACTTTTCAATTGACAGAAAGAGAGAAACATGGACGATTAGTTGCCTCCCATATGTGCCCCAACCAAGGCCGGGGATCTAGCCTGCAACCCAGTAACATGCCCCAACTGGAATCAAACCTGAAACCCTTTAGTCCTCAGGCCTACGCGCTATTCATTGAGCAACCTGGATAGGGCTACACCATTTCTTCTTGACTTTTGCTTCCCAGACTTGAGTAGGAAAGCAGCACCCACCAATGGGTATTCCTTTCTACAGTTTAGGAGAAACAGCAATTATATAAAAAGACATATTTTCCTGTCAATTGATTCAAATGCATAAAAAATACAGTCACCCAGATGACTACAGATGCCAAGTCACAAATGTGATTAAATTCTGAGTAAAGTGAAGCATTATTCAGGCATCCAATACACAGAGCCAAGGCCAGTCCTCCTTCCTCCATCAATAAGTAGAGAACTATCTCTGAGAATTTCACCTGGAGCCCTTGCCTGAGTCTCCAAGCAGAGGGTGATATGATTTATAGTTTTAGCCCTGACTAGTGCTGCAATTACTTGAAATATGGTATGCTTCCACACAGCATATAGCTAATATTTTCCCTTAACAAAGATAAGATATAGTTCAAATCATGTAACTCAGTTTAATGTTAGGCTTAGAATAAATTAGTTTTACAAATGGAATTTTAAGTAAGGGTAAAAGCATTGTGTGGGGGGAAGCACAAAGAGACTCCTGCATCAATAGAATAAAATTTAATAAAGGCAAGTGTGCACAACACACAGGAGAAGAAAAACAGGCAATATATACATACAGCAGTCCCCCACTATCTGTTGGGGATTCATTTCAAGACCCCCAGTGGATGTCTGAAGCCATAGATTATTCTGAATCCTATACATACTATGCTTTTTCCCATATACATTCCTATGATAAAATTTAACTTATAAGTTAGGCAATAATTTATAAATTAACAGCAGTAAGTAATAATGAAGGAGAATAATTATAACAATATAGTGCAATAAAAGTTATGTGAATGTGGTCTCTCTCTCTCTCTCTCTCCAAATATCTTATTATTCTGCACCCACCCTTTCATTTAAAGGAAGCACCTTACTGCCGGGGTTCTTGTCCCAGCATCAAGAAGGGTTCAGGAATCTAGAAAAGGTGCTGTGCGTAGATGACATAGGAATCCAGAGACTAATAAAGAGTCTGGAGACGAGATATAATTTTGAAAGGCATTGGGGGTCAGAGGACCTTCAGCTAAAGGAACTGAAGACTTCCGCCTTGTCTAGGACCCTTGCTTTTATTAACACAATTTGTCCTAAGGCAAGGTGGAGATAATACACTTCAAAGGGTAAGGTTTCAAAGGGTACAGAAGCATTGTCAGTTTGGGGAATAGCCTATGGCTATTCAGGTGTTTGGCCAGTAGGAGGCAATGACATGTAGATTAAGATGCCCTTTAACTGTCTGGCAGCCACAATCCGATTCCTATTCAGGTTTGGGGAAATGCCTTTAGCCATTCCCAACAGGTGACGACATGTGTAACTCAACCCAGTTGAGTCCCCAAGTCTCATCAACCTTTTGATGAAACTCTTAAAATTATGACATGCTAGAATTGGTCTGCGGCACCTTACAGCTTCTCTTTGGCAAGTCTGAATCGCCAGCATCACTACTCTTGCACTTTGAGGCCATCATCAAGTAAAACAAGGGTTATTGAACACAGCACTATGATAGCCATGGTAGTTGATCTGTTATCTGAAGCGGCTACTTAGTGACTGGACTTCTCAAAATCCATAGATCCAAAATCGACACCAGGATCTTCCTAACTTCTCCAGTATTTCCCACTTCAGGAATGACCTCACCACTCACTTGTCCCAGCTAGAAACAGGGATATCACTACAACTCCTTCTCCACAGTCAATCAGGCAGCATCCTTTGTGGATTCCACCTTCCTAATACCTCTCAAACTCACCTCTTTTCATTTTGAACTCTGGCCACTGCCTACATTCAACCTCGCAGCGTGTCTCACCTGGTTAAAGTGCTTCACCCTCAGTTGGTCCCTCTCCTTCTATCTCTCTCCATGCAATTCATTTTCCCCCTGCAATTTGAGTGATCTTTCCCAAATGTTAATCAATTACATATCATTTTTATATGAGTCAAGGTCCAACTAGGAAGCAAACTACTCTGAAAAGCAGATACTGAAAACTGGTTACATAGGTGATGAAAGAGCTAAAAAGTCAAAAGAAGAGTGGAGAGGTAACCCAGAGATTAGCAACAGAAGAAAGAGCCCCTACTACCCCATGGGGGGAAGGGACAAAGGGAAAGATGGTTATTACTGGAGCCCAGAGACCGGGTCATCCAGGAGTAGTGGGAACTATCCAGCCAGTGCAGAGAGAGACGAGGCCACAGAGCAGGTAGAGTTGCAGCCAGCAATGCTGCCTGGGGTGGAAAGACTCTAGGAGAGACAGCCTTCCCACCACCATCCACTTTCCCAGTAGTACCTCCATTTGGCCACACCCAGCCAGAAGCCAGGGCATAGTAGAGCCCACTGCAGCCTGCAGGGGTCAGACAGGGCAGTCCAAGGAAAGGACTAGGAAAGGACGTGGTCCAACACTGATGACCTCCCTCCTCGAAAATCGTCAGTGTCCCTGCCCTGAAGCCCTCAGCACAGAGTACCATGGGAGATAAGATCATGTGCTCTCGCTCTGGACCCTGCCTGTCTCTCTAGGGCCACCTTTCACCAAGTTTACCAACCCTCCATGTGCTCTCGCTCTGGACCCTGCCTGTCTCTCTAGGACCACCTTTCACCAAGTTTACCTACCCTCACACTCAACTCAGTACTGCCAGCTGACTACCCACCTGCATCTTTCTGAATACGCTAAACTCTCTCACTGCTAAGCCTTTCCAGGTGCTACTCCCTAAAGCTAGAATCCACTTCCCACCCCTTCCCCACCTTCACACACCCAGCTCCTACTCCCACAGCGGTTCTGCCTCATTGCACTTGTCAGCCAGGAAGGGGCGGGGAGCCTCCCAGAGCCTCTCACCCACACCCTCCCTGGTCTGTTGGGTGCCATTTCTGTGTGTTTCCATGGCACCCTGTGCTCGCCCCGGCATAGTATTACCCCTGGTTACTGCAACCATCAGTTTTCTGATCTTCCTCATTAGAGTGTAAAGTCCTTAAAGGTAAGGACAGTATCCTACTCTCCTTCTCAGTGCAAAGGATAGTGCCCAGTACATTTAGTGGCCACTTGTTGAATAAATTAATAAGTTTGGTTTTAAGGGAAGTTATACTGCACTTAGGATATGACTTCATTTTTCAACCACAAGGTTTATTTTAAAAATTTACTCCAAATATTTTTAATGCTGGAAAGTTTTCCCTTCTGGAGGCCAGGGACTCCCTCCAAGATATTTTTGGACTATGACTTCAAAACTGAAAAACCTCCTAAAAATAGGAGGCAAGGAAGCTAAAAATGTAAGTAACATTTTAATGCCCTGAAAACTATTGAAAGGCACCAATTAAAAACAACAACAATAATATTTTATTTGACAAATAATTTTTGTTTTAAATCATGGTAGAGCAGTGGTTCTCAAAGAGTGGTCCATGGAACCCTGAGAGTCCTCAAGTCCTTTTCAGGAGTGTCTACCAGATCAACATTACTTTCACAACAATACTAAGACAGTTCTGCCTTTCTCACTGTGCTGACATATGCACTTTATGGTATAAAATCAATGGTAGTTAAACTGCTATTAGCATAAAATGAATTTAGGTCATGGCACCCAACTATACTAGCAGCCATTGTATCTACACTAAACAATGACAGTTTTACTTAATAATGCCCTTGACAAAGCTGTAAAAAATTACCAATATTATTTAATATTAACCTCTGAGTAAAAGATTCTGTGCGATGAAATTGTAAGTGTACATAAATCAGTTGTGTACACCAAAATAGGATGGTTG